CCGTGGGAGGTTGGCTCCAGGGCATGGTCTGCCCCGTCTCACCTGGCTGGACACCAGCAGCAAGCTAACCTACCGGTTGGAGTGTCTGCTCCCTGGGGATCAGTGTGCATCATAGTGACTGGTTGAACTGTCAGACAATTAGCATATTAGGCGCACACACACACACACACACACACACACACACACCCGTGCACGAAATTTGTGCACAGGTGGGATCCCTAGCCCTGGCCGGTGATCAGGGCCAATCAGGTTCCCCACCTCCTCCTTCCCTCCCTGCCCGTGTCCGCCGCCACCCACCCCCGGTTCCCCGTCCCAGCCCCGATTGGGTAATTGGGACCTGCTAGCCAGGGGAAGGGGCCAACCACCACTGCGGCAGGTGGGTGGTGGGCGGATCAGGGCCTGCTGGCCAGAGGGAGAGACCCAGGAGGTTGTCTGCTGGCCCCGAGGAGGGAGCCAGCCCTTGCCCTCCCTGGGTCACATCTGCTGCCACCCATCGCTGGTTCCCCGTCCCAGCCCAGGGGCCTGGCCCCAATTGGGTGATCGGGGCCTGCCGGCCAGGGGAGGAACCAGGAGGTTGGCCGGCAGGCCCAATCAGCAATTGGGGCCTGCAGGCTGGGGGCAGCTCCTGTGTCAAGCATCTGCCCCCTGGTGGCAGGTGCGCATCATAGGGACCAGTCGTTCCATCGTAATGGTCGCTTAGGCTTATATATAGACTAGTGGCCTGGTGTATGAAATTCGTGCACGGGGTGGGGGAGTGTCCCTCAGCCCGGCCTGCACCCTCTCCAATCTGGGACCCCTTGGGAGATGTCCGACTGCCAGTCAGATATCCCTCTCACAATCCGGGACCACTGGCTCCTAACTGCTCACCTGCCTGCCTGTCTGCCTGATTGCCCCTAACCACCTCTGCCTGCCTGCCTGATCACCCCTAACTGCTCGCCTCTGCCTTGCCCGGGATCTGGCTTCCCTCCATCTGGCTGGCCGCAGGCACCCAGGATCTGGGCCGGCTGCAGCCGCAGGGGGCCTTGGGTGGATGGTTTCACCTGGGCTGCAGCCACAGGCGCCCGGGACCATAGGGTGAGCGGCTTGTCTCGCCTGATCGCCTCTAACCGCCTCTGCCTTGGCCCCGCCACCATGGCTTTGTCCGGAAGGTCTCCCAATCTAATTAGTATATTACCCTTTTATTAGTATAGATTGTACTAGCAACATGATTTTTGTTCACTAGGTAAGCTTTACTCAACACTGCAGCTCACACAGGACTATTAGCAATTCCTGCAGTCTTTTAAGTATTTGGCATTCTTCCTTCCATCCATTATGTGGGTTTACCAGGTACAGACCTTTCTAGGGAGGAGTGAATTATGTGGTAGTCTACTTTATATTCAGGTCCTACATAATCAACTAATCAGTAAAAGCCTATAAAATTGAAAAGGTAAGGTACAAAGAGCCTCTTTATAAATGATGTTATTTAAAAAGCAGCAAAAAGAATCCTGCAGATATATCTGTCAGTCTACTTTTGAGGTATTTAACGGGCAGCAAATGTTTACCTGTTTTCATCTCAAATAAGATTAGGAAAACACCTGTTTTCTACCAAAGCTCCCCAGACAGATTTGGATCTGACACTTTGAATTCCTTTAATTTGTCTGTTTCTTTCATAGCTGTAAAGTCGATTCCAGGAATAAAAAATTCTGAATCTAACATTTTCAATTCACTGCTAGTACATACTAGCTCATAAATCAATATACAAAGAACACTTGGAACAGGAAAAATGTTTTAATAAACGAAAATTTTAAGAACATCACTCTCTTTCTGTAGGGTGAGAAATAAACAATAATGCCCAAGGTAACTGGCATTTGTTTTCAAGTTACCTCAATTTGGAGCTTTAAAAAGGATTCACTACAGAAAACCTACAGGGCTGACTCATTAATATGGCTATAAAATGAATTACTGTTAAACCTGTAATAAGCTTTTATTTATCCAATCCTTTGCATAGCCCATTTTATCTCTCAAAGGATCTGTTGTTACGTGTAGTATTCACAATAGATTCTTAATAGTTAATAATCTGTCTACTATTGCCAAACACAAAACGCTTTCCACTTTTGTGACAACAAATCTCCTATCAATAAGCACCCAAATATTAAGTTATATGCTGTTTACTAACACAACTAAAGTAAGCAATAAGTTCCCTATTTCCAAAGGGTTTAATATTCAGGAGTCCCTCTCCCAATAAAAGTTCTTCTTCGCCGAAACCGGTTTGGCTCAGTGGATAGAGCGTCGGCCTGCGGACTGAAAGGTCCCAGGTTCGATTCCGGCCAAGGGCATGTACCTGGGTTGTGGGCACATCCCCAGTATGAGATGTGCAGGAGGCAGCTGATCGATGTTTCTCTCTCATCGATGTTTCTAACTCTCTATCTCTCTCCCTTCCTCTCTGTAAAAAATCAATAATATATATATATATAAAAGTTCTTCACGGACAGTTGTATGTGGTCTAAATTCCATTTTTAGTCTAACTGCATTTAACTCTGCTAAATACTAGCAAAACATTAGTCTATTTCCATTCCCCTAGACTCCCCAGAGTTACATGTAAAAATGTTTTTGTGGCTATGTCTTAGTATCACAAACCAGAACGCCAAAGAATCTATCAAAGTCGTACCATACAAAGCACCAACCAGCTCTAGGGTAATTTAAATCAGAGGTCTTCACTTTCAGCAAAAACATATATGGAGAATGAAGACTCAATATTATCTGGAAATATATTTTATTTTACTGTGACATAGCCAGGTATTATTATTATTATTATGCACTTTACATTCATTATCTCTGTGAATTCTCACAATTTTTTGTCCTAAGTAACTACATTTTACAGATGAGGTCAAAACGGAGGTTTAGTGAGATTAAGTAACTCGCCCATGGTTAGTTAGTAAATATCCCTCCTACATGCCCCCTAATTGGGCGCAAGCACGAAACTCAGATATGTGTCCTGATAGGAAATTGAATCATGACTTCCTGGTTCATAGGTCAACACTCAACCACTGAGCCACACCAGCTGGGCAAGATGTCGACATTTGAGAATTCTAATTTCACTCAAATTTTTATCATTGGTAACAAATGATGTCAACTGTTTTCCTCTAAGTGACAAGCTCACTTCATTCAAGAAAACATCCACCAGCCAGAACCGGTTTGGCTCAGTGGATAGAGCGTCGGCCTGCGGACTCAAGGGTCCCGGGTTCGATTCCGGTCAAGGGCATGTACCTTGGTTGCGGGCATATTCCCAGTGGGGGGCGTGCAGGAGGCAGCTGATCAATGTTTCTCTCTCATCGATGTTTCTGGCTCTCTGTCCCTCTCCCTTCCTCTCTGTAAAAAATCAATAAAATATATTATAAAAAAAAAAAAAAAAGAAAACATCCACCAAACACTCAAGTGTAAAAAACTAGTCTGTCAGTCATTCTTTCAAGTAAAACTGCTGTTCCATGAAACAAACAGTGCTGTTCCACAACTCAGCCTCACAAGTTCTTTTCCTTATGACATGGGTCAGACCTTGTTAGGCAGCATAAGTACTCTAAGCATACTTCCCATTTGGTCAGATACTTAAAAATTAAAAAGATTTGAACTCAAGGGCTGAGGGTATTTTTTTTAAAATAATGGATGATAGACCATTTATTCATTGTCCAACTTTTTATTTATTTATTTTGATATTTTATTGATTTTTTACAGAGAGGGAGGGAGAGAGTTAGAAACATCGATGAGAGAGAAACATCAATCAGCTGCCTCCTGCACACCCTCTACTGGGGATGTGCCCGCAACCGAGGTACATGCCCTTGACCAGAATTGAATCTGGGACCCTACAGTCCGCAGGCCGACGCTCTATCCACTGAGCCAAACCGGTTTCGGCGAAGAAGAACTTTTATTGGGAGAGGGACTCCTGAATATTAAACCCTTTGGAAATAGGGAACTTATTGCTTACTTTAGTTGTGTTAGTAAACAGCATATAACTTAATATTTGGGTGCTTATTGATAGGAGATTTGTTGTCACAAAAGTGGAAAGCGTTTTGTGTTTGGCAATAGTAGACAGATTATTAACTATTAAGAATCTATTGTGAATACTACACGTAACAACCACCCACCTGTCCCCTCCTTCCCTCCGAGATTCCGCACTCTGTTCCATGCTTCCATGTCTCTGGATCCACTCCATTCATCAGTTTATTTTGTTAATTAGATTCCACATGAGTGAGATCATGTGTATCAGGCAGTCCTCTGGTTACGTCGGACTTGACGTACGTCGTTTCGTGGTTACATTGCCATCTCCCATTTATTAAAAAAAAAGTCATTTTGACGTATGTACATATGTGCTTTGTTTTTTATGTTTTTTATTATTTATTTACCACAAGTAAAGGTCAGTAATTGTTATCTTTCTTTTAAATTTTTTTTACTGTTTCACTTCATTACTGCTGTGTCTGTGCTCCATGTGAGTAACGTAGGTCGAGATATGTCGCGCCTTAGAAACTGATCTCCGACGTAACCCGAGGACCTACTGTACTTGTGTTTCTCTGACTGACTTATTTCACTTAGCATGATACTCCCTAGGACTCAATGTCTGAGATTTAATAACATTAATCATTTTTATTGCCTCATCAAAGACATTCTCAAGTAAGGATTGTAGCGTTTCACTCAACTTCTTTGCTTTGGGCTAAAACACCAACAGTAGTTTTACCCACCCTTGCTTTTGGACCATGAGTGCAAATGTCGGTGAAGAAGATAAACAGCATTTTGGTGTTATTTTGGAAATAGTTACAACCTCCTGGCTCTCAAGGGTCTGAGGAGATCCCCATTTTTCAGTGGATCATCCTTTCAGAACCGCTTTCCTAGATTATACCACTGGTTCAAAGTGGGGTGAAAACACCAACAAAACTCTGTCCACCCCTAGAGTCCTCATTCCGTTAGTTCATTTAGTTTGAGATACACACCGACACAGGAAAGGAGCAGGAAACCAAGGGCACAGATTGCAATTTTGTTTTAAGGTTTTATTTTGAGCACCTTCACGCTAGACCAACAATTCCCAATGTAGAAGTTACGTTAATCAGTCTCAACTGAGGGACAGCAGTTAAAAACGTAGAGATGACACCTCCCTCGCCATCAGTCTTGGGGATGAGACCCTACCAAACTGCACTTTTAGCCATTTCCAACTTACTTTTTACGAACCCCAAGAATTGTGCTAAGTAGATCAAATTTAGAGTCCAATCCCCAGTCAACAGCAGTTAACGTAGAGATGACACCTCCCTCGCCATCAGTCTTGGGGATGAGACCCTACCAAACTGCACTTTTAGCCATTTCCAACTTATTACTTACGAACCCCAAGAATTGTGCTAAGTAGATCAAATTTAGAGTCCAATCCCCAGTCCC